ATGCATAATACATACATATTGAAACCAGTACATACACATATTTGAAAACTAAATATGTATGGACACAACCTATATATATGTATACAAAATTGTATGCAAATGGTATATGATAGCTGAGCAAAAAAAATATTGCCCGCTTTTCCAAAAAACAGAAAAAATCATCAATACTATTGATATCAAATATAAATTCATACAATGTATGTTTAAAAGAAAGAGTATGTTTTGTATATATGCTTATACATGTTTGTATATATATGCATGTTTTGTAAATATGCTTTTAGAAACTACAACAAAATAGGTAACACGTTAATTAGTTTAGGAGCTAAGTGGGAAGAAAAAAAATTTCGAAAAATTTCTTAGTTAAAACAAGGAATTTCATAAATTTAATTCGGTCTTCTTTCAGGTATATTCTGTTTAAAGCTGCAAAGAGTTTTAATGTAAAAAACTTAAAATATGGAAACATACATTATGGTGTAGAAAAAGTAAATTAACCTTCCTAAAAATGCAAGATGCTGAAAAGTTAAAACATTTGTTTTGAGGGGACATAAAATAGAAATTAAAATTATTTTGCCATCACCACCCCAGTATAGTGTCATAATTTATTAATGAAGAAAATCAAGAATAGTATAAAATTTTCAAAAAAAACCTTGTGAATTTTTATTTTTGAGATGGTCAAAATTTAATTAAAACAAAATGTAGTTTTTTAATTAATTCATTTATATGGGTTTTCCATTTCCAATTGGAGTCAATATACATACCTAAATATTTAATATATTGAAAGGATGATATTTGCTAGAAATAACTTTTTCATTAAGTTATTAAATGCCACCTAAAATGTGTATAATTTACGAGTCACATTATTTTATTCATTTTTGAAATCATTATGCCTTGATCGTAATCGAAAAAATTATGTTTTTCGAATGCAATTAATGTCAGTGGTCACATGTTCCGTGGTGTTGAAATAAACTGGACGACACAAGGAAGAAATATATACACTTTGGTATTCTCAATTACGTTTGAAACCACTGCATACACCTATGAGCCATGTCTTTGTGAACAACTGGATGAAAATCATTACAGTGACTAACTCAATCTTTCCCAGAATTTTTATAGAGGCAATTGGAAAAATGAGCTATCATAAGAAATATTGAAATTTGACTCAATCTATCTGTCACCAGATGGATAAGAATACAAACAGGAATGCTTGAGTCTATCCCCACGTGTGTGTACAGGTACTCCAAAAAAAATAAAAAAATAAATAAATGAAATAAAAAATTGGAGCAGCACATGCTTAATATAAATTTTAAACTAGATTGTAATAAATCAGAGCACATCGATAATTATATGTATTCCTGGAGATAGTCAATGCTAATAAAAGTCATTATTGAAATTTAATTCAAAATTATGTCTTGAGGCCCAAAATTATGCGTCAAATTAACCTTGCATAATAGCAATAAATGATTTTTTTTTTCCTTTTCCCTTGGCAGCAAAGATATATTATTTTCAATTTACAGTTATCCAACTTATTTAATGTATTACAAATTTCCTGCATCATATTTTGATTTACACAGTAGCTCTTAACCATCTCGCTATGGATTTCGTTAAGACGTTTGCTCGGCACAAAGTGTTATGGAAGGAAATATACTACAGGGCAGGGGGTTTGCACCACTAAGTCTAAGTTATGAAAAGAAATCACAAATAATGAAGTTTTAGTCCTACTACCTAAATTTTTGATACCAATTTAAACCATTACTTATTCTGTCATATTAAGATTATTACATATCTGTCATATAATTTACATATCTGTCATACATGACTTCAACAATGATTTTCCTCAAATTTACATAAAAATATGTAAAAAAAATTTGCTTACCTTTAAATAATTTTTGAAAATGCTATTCCAATTATTCCAAAGTTTTAATTAGCAATATACTATATAATAATATAATAACAATATACTATCAAATTAAGAAAAAATTTATGACAAAGGCTATTTACAAGAAGAAATAATAAAATTTAAAATGAACACTGAGTGAGTAAAATCTCGATGTATGGAGAAACGCAAAGTCCTATATTGCACATGATTTTCAAACATAAGATGTTTACTGCATTTTTATTTCTTTCAGAATGGTTTGTAAACAAACTGTGCACTTTCTATAGCTCTTTTCTCCCTTTTTGTTCTCCTAACTCTTTATCGTACAAAAAAGTGTGCAAAATACATCCAAAAGCAACGCAAACTGTAACAAAACTGACGCTAAAACCTAGATAGTAGCAAAAAAAAAAAAAAAAAAAAAAAAAAAAAAAAAAAAAAAAAAAAAAAAAAAAAAAAAANAGTAACAAAAAAAAAAAGAAAAAAAGAAAAAAAGAAGAAAGAAAAGGAAAAAAAAACATGCAGAGAGCTATCAGAAGAGAAATGTTTATATCTCGTGGAGAGTTAAAGAGTTGAGGTCTGTTTGTTTACACTACGATTTCCTCCTCCTCAGCCAATGAGTAAAATACCAAAGACAGGAAGTATAAGATCAATCTGAAGGACCAGAATACTAAAAGTACATTCAGTTTACATGTAATGGACACAGAGTGCCATCTAATGATTATTTAAAATTGTTTCAGCTTAAAATGCATAGATGCACTGCCCCTTCACTAGGCTAGTTCTCCAACAATGCAGAGTGAAATGCTTGGCTCTGAGATAAGTCTGTATGAAATGCATTTATGATTCAACCGTTGTGAAGAGGTTAATTTCAAGGACAGAGCTCATTCTAGGCAGAAAAAGGGCAGGGTGCAAAAGTTTAAAAAAAGGGCAATATTATTCTAAAAAGGCAATAATTTCCTTCTATGTGCTTTACACGTTCTATTAAAAAACATTGTTAATTAGTAAAAGAAATTTCTTTTTTTTACTTTACTAAAAGTTGCAAAGCAATCATATTTATTACTAATTTTTATTAATAAATTAACATATATATCGAGTTAATTAGCTAATTAGCTTAATAATTTATTTAAAATGCATGCATATATTAATAAAATAATAAATGTATGTTTTTAAGTGTCTGTAGTTATGATTTAATAATTAAAATGATTAATAACAATTATGATTTAATGATAGTGGAAGTAGCTGCTAACTTTCAAGGACAAGTGCAACAAGGGGATGTGATGGCTATTTTCCCTTTCCCAAATAAATCTATGTATTGGTAACAATGACAAACTAAATAAAAAGAGCTGAAAAAAACAAAAGTTTGAGAAATCCATTGGAGAGTTTGGGGAAAAAATAAAGAAGGGTTGAGGAAAGAAAGGGTATGGAGTCTATTACATCAGGGCACTAATTTACTTCAGGGGCAACAGGGTGGATTCTTTTGACTAAAAGGGCAGCAGGGTGCTACGCCCTGTTTACCCTGCCTAGAATGAGCTCTGTCAAGGATAGTAAATAAAAAAATTTCTTACCCATGCTGAACCTGGGTAAGTGATTGCAGTTTAATAATAGTTTATTTAAATTATTTTATTTATTTATTTTTTCGCATTTTTTTGCTCTCATGCTTTTTTTGATTATTCATTAACAGATTTTTGATACTATGTTTTTAGCAGCCTTGAATTGAGTATATACTAGTGTTGTGTTTAGATACCAAGCTAAAGTAACTAAACTTAATATTTAAACCATCCACAGTAAAGCTTGCAACATGTAATTTAATTAAGTTAAATTGTTTACATTGTTAATGTTTGTTTTCTTATGTTAATGTTTGTTTTCTTTTGCTATATTATCTAAAAACACAAAATGATGAAAAACAATGTGATGAAAAACACAAAATGATGGGAACAATGCTTAAACTCATAACCCTGCTACAAACATAATCATTAAAAATTATAATAAAAAGAATGAAGCTTAAAATGCTTTCTTAAAATAAAAGTAAAACATACTAGCTTTAAGTTAAATACTGTAATCGTTTTTCAAGCTCATTATGAATTCAACTTTCCTTAACTAGTTCCAAAAAAATTTGCTTACATAAACATAATGCGTCGTGGAGAAATTTCCATTTGTACTTTAATGAATATAGAAAGAGTTTAACTTTATGTTCATAAAAATACAAGTGTAATATTCTGTTTTGGAGATTTCAATACACTAGAAGTCTATTTTGCTTTTAGAAGTATAAAATACATATAATTTGGTAAAAGAAATCATAAATGTTTTGACAAAATGTATTGAAATATGAAACTGCAACAATCTTCACAGGTGAAAGAATACTGAATAGTAATAAGAATATAAAATGGAGTAATAAGAATAGAAAATGCAAACATGTTTCTAAGTTGAATTTGATTAATATTGAGATTAAATAAGACAAGTTTTACTTAAAAAATGTAATACTATGCCAACTAGATGGTTTTTTTATCTTCCAACATCAAAAAGTTAGTCACACCAGCCATTTTTTTCCCTAGAAGCCCAGTACAGAGTAGCCTTGATGTGAAAATTGTCAATGATCAAAGAATTAGTAATGTTACTCAAGGAATTAGTAGTGTTTGCCTATCAAGGCAACTTGATGGGCAAACTGCCAAGTTCATATCCTCTCCTGTGGAACATAGAGGACAGCCAGGAGAGTCAGAATTCTGATACCGCAAAGGTGATTCTGGAGATAGTCACCTCCATTAACAATTCTGAAATTTGCAGAGAAAATCTGTCGGGAGAGGTCCATAGGGACGGGATGGAGAATAATGCTAATCCAGATTTTTTTTTTTTTTGCAACATCAGCAGTTGTGCTGTTTTTAACAAATTTATTTATTGTCTGGAAAATGGTGGAAGAAATTTGTATATAAGTGCAAAAGGAGGCCGTGGGAGCGAGCATTCTTGTTTGAGCCGGCGGTGTGCCCTCTTTTTTTCTCGATGACTGCAAATACACTGGATAAAATCCCCCAATCATTGCAGAAAAGTTCATAGATTTTTTGCTTCGTGACAGTAATAAGGGATAAAAAATATTAAAAATTTGATATAATTGAAATAAAGAAAATAAAAAACTTACAGCTGGCTTTTCAGCTTGTAATCTTCTTTCCCTGTTTTCTCCAAATATCACAGTATTTTCAGGAATTGTTTCACAGCATGTTAGCTCACATTTCGCCCCAATGATACAACCTGTAGTAAGTTTAGTATTTTTCCCAACTTTGCCTAAAATATTAAAAAAAAACAATGTATACAAATATATTAGCTTATTACAACAAGTTAGGAAATTTTAAAATAAAAACAAGGATACATAAATTTAATCACTAATAAACTATGACATTAATTTTTAAAACATGAATTCATGCAGATAGTTGGTATATATTTTTTTCAATGGATTTCTTAAAAGTAAGAATTTTTCAGTTTTATAAATATACACACTTGGATCTCTTTCATGTGAATATAAATTATTTTTATGTCAACCAATGTTCGATTCCCCATCAAATTTAATATCAATATAATAGTAGAACACCTCTATAACAAAATTAGTTAAAGAGAAAAATTTTGTTTTACTACAGTTGAGAGACCACTATTTCTTTATAAAAAGAATATCTAGAATTTTGTGATTAAAATTTTCATAAGAGGGAAAAATTTGCTATAAGGAGACAATAATGTATTTCTCCTTGTGAGAGAATAATGTATTTATGTAAGTAAATAAGTTATAATGTAAGTGAGACAATAATGTATTTATAACGCGGATATTTTTATGAATGATGAAATACTTTTTTAGGTGAAATCAAAATTAATTATATTTAAAAACATTTTTACTTATAACAGGAATAGAAATTTTATTTTCACTAAGAGGCTTCGCAATTATATATCAATAAGAGTTAGTAATTCTTAAAATTTCATACCTTTTGCTTTTTTAAAAATTACATCTGTTGAATAACAGAGAATAACTAATCAGTCTATCTTATGTTTGAATCAACATTCTGTTTTATAAAGTAGAAAACATCATGAGCCATCTGGTACTTTTAATAGGAGATTTCTTTCATAACATGGGCATTAACAGATATAATTTTGTATGAATTTAAAGGAGTATGTCTCCTCAAAAATTTCATATCTTTAGTTCCATTTTATTACATTGACACAGCTCTTTTAAGAAATTGTTTATTCATTTTAGCTGAAGAATTAAAAACTTTGAGACTAAACTCTTTATGCAGTGGTTTTGAATTCGTTTAATAGATATCGTGTTCAGAAAATTCTGATAACACTTTGCATTGTCTCTGCAGTTCTAATTTATAGATATTCTTTTTAAATTTAGAGAATTTAGTGAAAAATAGACATTTAAGAAACAAAAACAGCAAGTTGTAACTATTTTTTTAATTAGTAATTTCCTATAATTATAATTGAAATGGAAGCACTTTTACTTATTTGAGTTTGTTACATTTTCAGTGATTTTTTGTTTAATTTCACGATTTAAAAACTAGGTAAAGCATAAGAAGTATGACACCTTTTAAGCTTCATCCCGACTAACATATTCAGTAATTCCTTTTCATCATAAACTTAACATTTTTATAATTTGAAAAGTTAGTAACAGTATTCCTAATGAAAGTAATAATGAATTATTTAACCTTTTGCTCATACAAGTGGCTAGTACAAGTGGAGCAGAAAGTCAGGCTGAAGCAAAGAGCCATAAGTAGAGGGTTTAATATAAAGAGAAAAATAAAAAGCTTCTTAGAGACATAAAAAAAAGGGGGGGGGGAACGGTTCAACCTTCATAATTACAGGGTTCATAATCAAAAGTAAGACATTTTCCCCCTGAATTTTCAAGGTTTTCTAGGTAGATTAAAAAAAATTCCAAATTTTTCTTTAAAAATAAAAATCAAAAACATTTATGTATCAAAAAAATTTTATTTAAAATTATAAACAAAATTATAATTCTAAGAAAGCAGTAATAAATTATTTTTACTTAAAAAATCAGATGATTTAACTAATGTCAACAATGATTAGAAATAATAAATTGTCAGAATTATAAACCTGACTGAAAAGGGAAATAAGACTAAGAGAATTAACTGGGCAATGTTTGAATATATATATATTGGTACAAAGTTGTTGAAAAAAAATACTAAACATATATAAATAATCCGTGTGTTTAATTGAAGTCATATCAAAGTGAGAACAACTAAGACAAAAACATGATAAACAATTAAAACTCAATATATTAGCATCAAATAAAAATTATTTACAAGAAAGATAAGCACCAATAAGATTGAAAAACTAATTTAGAAAGACAGTAATTGAAAAAAAAAACATATTTTCAACATCAATTATCAAATATATTTTTAAAAAATTACCAAATATGTAAGCAATCCATATCTAATTAAAATTAATCTATATTTATTAAATTAAGTCAAATAGAATAAATAACTAAAAATAATGCTTTTTATGAACAAGCAAGCAAGNAAAAAAAAAAAAAAAAAATCACTAATTATCAAAGTATCCTAAAACGAAACAAACAAATATAAAAACAATTAATATTAATTCAAATTCATGTTTATTGAATTCAGTCAAATTATAACTAAAAATAATGTTTTTTATCATCAGACAAGCAAAAAAATAAATAAATCAATCAAGGACAAAAATGTAATATTTATAATCTTCTGCTAAAAAATAAATGAATTATCCTGCTGAAATATGAAACAAAGTCGCAAGAAAATGAAAAATAAAAGAACTAATAAATCAATAAAATAAAAGAACAACTTTTCAACAACTAAGTAATTCTAAAAAGACAATTTTTTAAAAAAACTAAATTAATAAAAATACTATACAAATAATCTGCATTTAATCATATTCAATCAACTCATGAACATTTCTAAGAAATGAGAAAAAAATGAATAAATAAATAAATAAATATGGAGGGGGGGTATTTAAATAAATAAATAAAAATGCCCGTCAAGGCAGGATATATTCAGATATCTTAAAACTCATGAATAAGAACTAATTCATCGAGCACAAAATTTATTGGGAACAAAAAAAAAAAAACTTCAAAACTTTGTGGAATCAGATATGTTTCACTTAGAAAGCTGCAGTTAAACTTCAGGTGTGATTCAGACAAAGCTTGCAAATGATACCGCACCTCTGAGGAATCAGAATTCATTTAATTAAAAAATATTGTTTTCTTAATAGAAATGAAATGAAAAAAACATAGCAGACAATAAAAAAAACGTTTGAAACAAAAAACATTCATAAAAATTTTTGAGATAAATAACTAAAATGCTTTTGAGATAAATAAATGCTTCACATTTAAAATTCCTTGGTATGGGAGATGGTTTCGACAAAGTATTCAAGCAAAACTTTTATCCAAGAATAACAAAAGATATTTTTAAAAGAATCAGGAAGAAAATAAGTCACAGCAAAATGGGCTTCTTGTGATTATTTTCTAATTTTAGAACATCACATATGTTCCCATTTACAAAAAGAAAAAAAAACTCGTTTAAAAAAAAATCAGGTTTTTCTTGCTTTAAAGCTTTTTTCGGAGGGGGGGGGGTGTTTAACTGGGTTTTTCTTTGTTCATTTAAAACAAAAGGTTAAATAAGAATTTACACTCTAAATTAAAATATTTAAGCTGTTATAAATTATATTCATGAAAATATTTTAGACAATAAATTAAGATTATCACTAAACAATTAAAAAAATATCTGCTTTTCTTCCATAAGCATGCTAACACAATAAAAAAGAATAACTGAAGATTTTGAATGTGCATTTCAACTTAACATGTAAATAAAAATTTAATATAAAAATGCTATATTAACAATGCATAACAGAATAAGTTCCTCCTTGTTTGCCAGTTTATATGATAAATCTCACATTTTAGCATTATTTAATGTCATTAATTAACTGTATTTAATTCAAAATATTTGTATAAGTATAATTAATAAAATGATCATGTTTTTTTCCTCAGTTGAATTAACACAAATTTTAAATCGAGCATGAAAAATTTTAAGTAATATAGCTTTCAGTTCAAAAATAGTTGAAAATAATGTAATGATGAAAAGGACTAAAAACATCAAACTGCATACTTATATAAAATAGCATAGAATATATAAAATAGTGAAGTAAAGGTATGCTTCACTACTAATGATAAGTAAGAAATATAATACTTTTTTTGTTCTTTTTTTTAACACACAGTAGCTCTAAGCATATCAATATACTTATAATGTAATATAAAATAAAATAATACACACTGATTAAATTTTAAATGAAGCTTGAATATTTCTCAATATTTTTGAATTATCCTAACAAGCAAAATATTAAAATTGTTTGGAAAAAAAAAGCCTTTGTTTAAACCAGCGAGCCCTGCCTACAGCATCAATATTAAACCTGAATTAACATTTCATTTATAGATCATCATCATTATCTATACATAGGAAGTGATATTATATTTTATTTTATACAAATCAACATCAAAAATTTAACAGGGTTACTTGGTATTCATCAAATGAGAATAAACGACAATTAAAACTACTATAAAACAAAATTATATACAGCACTGATATAACTAATTGGGAAAAATGCAATTTACACATAACAAGGCAAAGAGATAATGTACAATTTATCATGTTACTTACATTTGGATTCTAAAACATTATGATCACCAATGTTTAGAGATTCAACATCTGAAAAGGCAGTTAAGAAATGCAAAACGAACAAACTTTTATTAAGTAGAAAAGAATAAGCAGCAAAGAAAGTGCGAGAAATATCTTATTAAAATCATGAAATAATTGCAACGTCATAATACACAACTAAAATAAATATAATAATAAAAGGTAATTATTATTAACAATTGAATTAACTATTATTGCAATCATTCTTATAATAATTTTAATAATATACAAAATACATGTTTTTTCTTAAAGGTATTTCATTTGGCATTAATTTCATTAGATTTAAAAACTGAATCAGATGAAAATTCTTAAGTAGAAGCAGATACATACAAAAAAGGAAATTAAATTGACTAATCTTGAGACTCATAAATCTCCCAAGAAAATAAATTTTAAAAAACATTATTTCTTTCTAATATGTTATTCAAATACCACTATAGTTCTAACGGAAAGAAACTAATTTGCGAAAAGCATTTTGCAAGGCCTAAGAGCCAATCATAAATAAAAAAAATAAATTAAAAAAATTACTATTTTTTTAGAAATTAACTCAAAAACAGAGAGAAATTACGCCAAATGTTTCCCACATATACAAGAAGCAATTGCAATACATTATTATTGACATTATTAAACAGTTTAATAAATTTTGACGATGGTTAATCAAATGACTACTTTTTAAACATATAATTAAAACAAAATAAATATTAAATTACAACATAAGAAATATCTATGCCACTAATTAGTTCTTATTTTTATCATTTTATATTATAGGAGTTTCTTGCACAGTCTTTCAATTACTATAATCTGTCATTCAATTACAATAATTTATTACATTAACTACAAATTTCCATTTAGTCAGTTTAAAATATTTATCGTTAAAACTTTGGCTCCCACATCCCTATAATTCGATAACATATTTATAATTCACAAACATAAAATAAAATAACTGTTAAAAAGAAACGAGTTTCAGTTAGATTACATTTATTTTAAATGTCATAAAGGAGTATCAGTCAAAAGAAACTTACATAATCTTTAGCACAATAAAATAAATATATATATAGTTAGTGACACAATCAACATATAATAAACAAATGTAAAAAAATTATACAAAAAGATACATGCTCCAACTTCAAAAACATTATTTGCACCAATCATCATAGGTATTGGAGGGTCAGATCTAAAATACATAATAATTCATTTAAATATTACAAGAAATTTTGTTAAATATTTAAACAGAATTTTGTATAGATGCTATAGATACAAAGTATTCTATAATTTTATTAAAACAGCATTTTGACAAAACTTTCATGCTGCATTTTTAGTTTTCAGAGAGCAACAATTCTAATTAATAAAAAAAAATGACCTCTACAATATGTTTTTGAAAATCTATTTTGCATTTTTTTTAAACCTTTCATAAGTTTTGTCCAGAATACACAAAATAAAAAATTTATAACTAAAAATATGGTCAATGTATTTAAAATGCAAACTCCCAGATGAAAGATTTGAGATAGGTAGATAATTTTAAGTCATAGTCTACATCAGATTTGATAACAGTAGTTTTTTTAAATCTAAACTTCCATTAATTGAAATATTATATACATTTTGAAAACTCAAAAATAAATAATTTTAAATGTAACTACAATTATATTAAATTCATACAATTCTTTCTATTTCATTCCACTCCTTAATGCCAACTACCTCACATGAATAACTCTACAATATCCCACCATCAAAATATTCATTCTTTGTCAGAACAAACATATTTCCAACATTAATTTACCTATTCTGCTAAACTCTAATATTATAACTAAAAATCTTGATGTTGGCAATAAAAAGAAAACTAAGATGTTTTGTTGTAAAAATCTAAGCCGAAATTGTTTTTGTCCACAAAGTGAGTCTTGTTTAAGTCAATGAAGTACTAGGTACAATGATAATATACTATAATGATAACAAAAAATATAAAACAATATTAAAATTTTAACATGTTAAACAACATGCATAAACCAAAATCACACCAGCACTATGCTTTTAATGCCTAATTACTACTTTATTGCCTAATTAATTAATGCTTTTATTGCATGGAAACTTTGGTGAGATCTCTGTACACTCCCAGATTAAATACTTTCCAGTTACTTCATATTTTAAACAACTTCTAAGGATTCTACGTATACTTAGGTAAGCTTTTTTTAGGTATTAGAATTAAATGCCTAAAATTTTGCATTTTTTTCCCCAAAGATAAAATAAGTTTCAAAAATAGGAATAAAAACACAAAAATATACAGTTAAAAATATTTTAACGCATTTAAATACATAAATATTAAGTCACAATTAATAAAAGTTGTACAATTAATAAGAGCAGTGGAAAGATATCTATATAAAATAAATAGAATTTATATAAAATAAGTTTATCCATATGCAGAAAAATAAAGCTTAATTGCTAATGTCACTAAATAAGGAGGAGTTTACAATTTGATAAAAAATAGGAAGATATTTCAAAATCTTCTCATACGGCTGAAGCCAAAATTGAAGTTTTAGAAATTTCAAACCATTCGGCATCTATTAATTAAGATCTAGTAATTAAAAGATTTTGTACTTAAGAGAATTTAATATCAAAAAAAGAATTTTTCCAGCATAAAAAATGAGCAGCTAGTTTTGACTGAAATGCACAATATTCATCTTTATAACATAAAAGTTTTTTTTTCCTTCTAAATAATACTTACTTCATATTTGACACTGAACACCCTAATTTAATTTTTAAATCTTAATTTTAATTTATTTAAAATACTTACACATTCCAAATATGAACTTGTTCTTCAATTAGATTAGCTTCACCAATTATAATAGGAGCAGTTTCAGCTATAATCCGAGCTTTTGGATGAATAATAGTTCGACTACCTAAAATATAAGAAAAAATATCAACTAAGTTCTAAAATTTCACGTTCAAAATTTAAAATGGTTAAAAATAAATGGTTTTAACCTATAAGCTTTTCAAATACATATTTTTTCATGAATACAAACATAAATATTTTTCAATTTGGATTACAGAATTATATTACTGCAAAATTATGTACTTGGTTTCTTTACATACCTATTTTTAAAAATGAAATTCAGATACAGTATTTGTGTATTAGAATAATTCCAAATTACAGGGTTGCCACAGAAAAAAATGAACAAAATAGTTGCTTCTAAAAGCCTAAAACATGAAAATAGTAGCCAAAAACTAAGAAAATAGTTGCCTAAATAAGAACAAAAATTCATCAAAAATATGACTTAATTGTCATATACCATGATCCCTTCAGTCAAACTGGTGGCAAATATGATAATTTTTATATAAACGTAAATGTTTATACACACTGAAGAGCCAAATAGCTGGTACAGGCATGAGTATGCAAATAAAGGGGTATGGAGCCAATCAAAGTACAGCGCCGCGATTGGCAACACGTATATAAGGCAACGAGTGTCTAGCACAGTTCTTAGATCGGTTACTGCTGCTACAATGCCAGGTTATACAGATTTATGTGAGTTTGAATGTGGTGTTAAAGTCGGCGCACGTGAGATAGGACATAGCATCTCCGAGATAATGAAATTTGGATTTTCACGTACGACCATTTCACGAGTATACCGTGAGTATCGGAAATTCACCAAAATCCCCAAACATGAACATTACTGAACATATCCCCACCCCCTCTTACTCACACTGGTTTATGGACAGCCCTGCAGGATTCATGGTGTCAATTATCTCCAGCTCTACAAATGC